AGTGCTTGGAGACGCTCTTCGTCGAACACAGATGGTCTTCCGCTGCGGCGCGGGTTTTCAACGTTAAAATCGCCATTTTTGAATTTTGCAAACCATTTCCGTGCTGTCGATTCACTTATGACACCTTCTCCGTATACATTGCAAATATCCCGGGCTGCTTCAACAGCTTTTTGGCCGCAATGGAAAGCGAAGAAGAGCAGGTGTCGAAAGTGCTAATTTTTACCTCCTGGATATTCCATTTCTGAGCCTCAATAGTAATAACGAATGAAACCACTGAAAAAAAACGATTAACACAGTTTTGTAGAGCAGAAAGAACTCTATCGAATGAAAATTATAACCCCTTGCAAATTGCAAAATGTCGCTGTAAAAAAAGAAAATGTCAAAACGCTACGAACTTATTCCCCAACCTAATATATTATGAAATAGTATATTAAGTTAGGTTAAATGAAAATAACACTTAGGTTACACGATTTGAAATTTAAAATGATTGAAATCTGTTCCACTTGCTTTATATATTCAAACAAATCTTTAAATTACTTTTTAACGAACAATGAGCAACGTTCACGTTATAGAAAAAAGTTAATTGGGAATATGTTCTTAATAATACAAGTCAAGGTCAAGTTTATTAGGATTCGGATCTTCGTTCTCAATATTTACTTTCTTTAGATTACACACTTAGGATTTCACAATTTTTATTTTATCTTTAGCAGAAGTATAAACATGCATGTAAAAATAAAAAGCCTTGCAACGGAAGAAAATACCCGCACGAGTGTTTCTTTTTTAAATGAAAAATGTATAGCAACGCCTGTAGGTAGTTTCATACTAAAGGGATGCATAAAGTTGCAAGTAAAAGTACTTTAAACAAATAAAACTTTGTTATCAACGTATACTCGTGTAGGATGTGATATACATAAGTTTTTAAACACTTTTCCACATTGTTTATTGGAACTGCAATTTTTTAATTAACGAAAGTAATTGTATTTTCTTTGTTAAATGTATGCACTGGAAAATAACAGCAAATTCATTTCAGCAACATGCTGCGGAACGTCCTGTATATTTACGACGTTAATTTTTTTATTGTAATACATTGTATTTTAGTTATGAAGTTCAAATAGTCTAAAAATTTGATTGCAACATTTCTAACATTTAAAATTATTTTTTTAATTTTTTTGTTACTTTTTAATTAGTATTCCTTGTACACTTACATTATTTTTAGATACATAATGAAGAGTTAATAAATTAATTTAAATTTTCTAAGTAACAGTTAACTTCAGTTGAAAAGTAACATAGGTTCAGTTTTATTTTGATACATTATGAATCGATCATAAAAGTTTGAGTATTCGGGATTCTAACATGAGGTCAATCATGAAAATTCTGGTGCGTTCATTATTGTAAACATATGATGGACAAAAATATCTGGCCGCTGGGTACAGCTCGTAATAGAACTGGTCCGCAATGTGTTAATTATAGAAAATTTATGAGAAAGGTTTGACCATAATAGAGCTGAGAATTTATGATACCCAAGAACCACAATTGGGCATTATATAAATAAACAATTATGTAAATTACAATTCCAATAACAGAAGAAGCTAAAGTATTTTAGTATTTTCTATTCGTAACAATAAAAAAAATTTTATCACGGTAGGATTTGAAACACTATTAAAATATTATAACAAGAATACTAAATGACAATGAAGTATTTTATTATTCAGACAAGGTGTTCCAGTCTTGTTCATATAATTTTATTAACAAATTCTATAAATAAAAATAAGAAAATATATTTACATAACTGTAGGCGCTTGATTGCATTAAAATATTAAATTTAACTTTTCAATAGTATTAAAAATTATTAAAAAATGCGAAAGTCAATTATTATTGGTATATAATATATCGTTAATTATTTCGTGTATTCCTTATAATTTAAAAGCCTATGCTCATATAACATTTTTTATCATTCTGGTTTGTAGAATATACTGGTGAAGTTTTACGTACAAAAGTGGAACACACAGTACATGGCATCGAAAAGCAAGGTAGTCTGAAGTTGTTTTATACTTCTAATAACGTTTTAGTTGAATATTTAAATGTTAATATAACATATATGTAAATATAACATCCTGTTCTTATGGAATGATGACAAAGTTTAGTGTGAACAACTGGGACACTCGATATATGGCCTTGCGTTCCAAAGGTGACTCACACTTACTGCCAGCTTTTATATAACAATCTAAAATAAGTATTTTTTAACAGAATCCATTGTGTTACTCATGTGATGTAGAAACAACGAAACAGGGAGTATTGCTAATCAACAATGGAGAAATAATAGTTTCAAAAACGTTCGTGAAGTGTTTCAATTAGAATATTTTAAAATTGTTATTTTCCAGCAACAAAAATACCCGAACGAGTATCGAAATTTTAAATTTGACCACAGCATTACGAGTATACTATTTTTAATTGTTCGTAAGAGAAATTTGACGCATGAAACACGAGTGTGAGAACAAGGAAAAGACGAATTCAATGTTAAACTACTCACTGATTGTGAGACGCAGTATCTGCGCAAAATATGCGCAAATATTTAGGCTAGAAATTATAACAAACGCAAATACAAGAAATATTATTGAAATTATGACAAATGTAACTGCCCTTGCTTTTATTGTTTTCAGTCGTCCATTTTGAAAACAATTTAAACATTAATCGAGTTATATTTTGCGACAATTTATTCTATTGCGACTGATTTTTTAAACTGTTAAGTATTGATAAACTGTTTCACATTTGTATATGTGAAACATAAGTGATGGTGAACAAAATATGTGTCAAATGTTCTGCCAAAAATTGCAAACAAAAGAATCATTCAAATTGAAAATTATCACTCGCTAACGGTAAACAAATTCCTAAGCTTGTAAAATAGTTTTTATAAAACAGAAAGATCGAAATTCCTGTAACAAGGTTCCCTGCCCTTTTTCATGATCAAAAAACTCACGTAACGAGGAATTAATAGCAGATTCCTTCTTCCCGTGTCGTGACGTTCGTGTATCATTTGCCACAATTGACAAAATTGACCGGGAGTATACATAATAGATCCTGGGAAACCGACAAAGTTACGAGTTCATGGTCTCCAGTTAGCAACCCAATCCGACCACGCAGCGCTAATAAAAAAGCAGCTCCCCATAAATCGCATTTCCCCGTGAAAACTAGCGGGAATTCACGGAATCGTCTCTAATCCAGCTAATCGCGTTCCGCAGCGCGCAGATTAAGCGACGAGCGTAAAATTTGAAAGAACGAAAGATCAGAGTCGGCCGGTATCGATATCAAATTGCAGGACGCGTCAGTCCTGTCGTATTGTTCGGTTTACGACACAAATAATCGTTTTCCGCGTATTAGCCTCATTGCAACTGTGGAAAGAGGCCTTTTGCAGAAGAAGATAGCGTGGGTTTGTACACTGCGGTAATCTACAAAGCGTGATAAATTGACAGATAGGAATGAGCGAGCACGGCAAGGGGGCTTGTAACATCGGTCGAGCGTATCAGCGGTTCTCGATAAAATCGAATATTCGTGAAGTGTTTCAATTAGAATATTTTAAAATTGTTATTTTCCAGCAACAAAAATACCCGAACGAGTATCGAAATTTTAAATTTGACCACAGCATTACGAGTATACTATTTTTAATTGTTCGTAAGAGAAATTTGACGCATGAAACACGAGTGTGAGAACAAGGAAAAGACGAATTCAATGTTAAACTACTCACTGATTGTGAGACGCAGTATCTGCGCAAAATATGCGCAAATATTTAGGCTAGAAATTATAACAAACGCAAATACAAGAAATATTATTGAAATTATGACAAATGTAACTGCCCTTGCTTTTATTGTTTTCAGTCGTCCATTTTGAAAACAATTTAAACATTAATCGAGTTATATTTTGCGACAATTTATTCTATTGCGACTGATTTTTTAAACTGTTAAGTATTGATAAACTGTTTCACATTTGTATATGTGAAACATAAGTGATGGTGAACAAAATATGTGTCAAATGTTCTGCCAAAAATTGCAAACAAAAGAATCATTCAAATTGAAAATTATCACTCGCTAACGGTAAACAAATTCCTAAGCTTGTAAAATAGTTTTTATAAAACAGAAAGATCGAAATTCCTGTAACAAGGTTCCCTGCCCTTTTTCATGATCAAAAAACTCACGTAACGAGGAATTAATAGCAGATTCCTTCTTCCCGTGTCGTGACGTTCGTGTATCATTTGCCACAATTGACAAAATTGACCGGGAGTATACATAATAGATCCTGGGAAACCGACAAAGTTACGAGTTCATGGTCTCCAGTTAGCAACCCAATCCGACCACGCAGCGCTAATAAAAAAGCAGCTCCCCATAAATCGCATTTCCCCGTGAAAACTAGCGGGAATTCACGGAATCGTCTCTAATCCAGCTAATCGCGTTCCGCAGCGCGCAGATTAAGCGACGAGCGTAAAATTTGAAAGAACGAAAGATCAGAGTCGGCCGGTATCGATATCAAATTGCAGGACGCGTCAGTCCTGTCGTATTGTTCGGTTTACGACACAAATAATCGTTTTCCGCGTATTAGCCTCATTGCAACTGTGGAAAGAGGCCTTTTGCAGAAGAAGATAGCGTGGGTTTGTACACTGCGGTAATCTACAAAGCGTGATAAATTGACAGATAGGAATGAGCGAGCACGGCAAGGGGGCTTGTAACATCGGTCGAGCGTATCAGCGGTTCTCGATAAAATCGAATAAGAAGGGGTTGAGGCGCAGCAGGAAATACATAGAAAAGAGACGCGGCGATCGCTTCGACGCGAACGCGAGCGAGGAAGACGATGCAAACGGGTTGTCGGAAGCGTCAGGTGGGGTTTGGGGTGTGAGGGTTAGGAGAGGGTGCGAGCGTCGAGGAAGGGGGGCGACCCTGTGGTGTACTGAACGCGAGTAGGGGGGTGGCGCTGTCAGCTGACGTACGGGGGGAGGGGAAAGAAGTCCGGCGGATACGGAGTTAGGTAGCGAACCGTGGCTCAGTTAGCTTCCGTTCATTCTCGCGGAACGTTGGTCGGTTAGCTTCTGTGGTGCAGTTTTTACGCACGTTGCCTCTTTAACTGTTCGCGTTATCGCCAACGGATTTTCATGTGAAAGTGAACGTGACGTGCTCGTGGATTCTCCTGTATGCCGTCAGAGTGTGTGAATGTGCTCGTGATACTAATGGAGATCGGTTGGTGACGGAGAAGTGCATGTATCTTGCCAGGAGTGAAGTGTCAAGTGCCGGCGGACAATGAATACGATGATACGGAGCTGTTTCCTCTTTTGGCTGCTTTTGCAGGGATACGTTCAAGGTTAGTGGTTCTTTACCCTTCTGACGTCGCTTCGCTGATGCATCGATTATCTAGTTTTCACGCGAAATTATTCGCGAACATTCATCCACTTTTCGAACGTCGCTCCTTTTCGTCGAATGCCGCCGTCGTTTCTCTTCGTTGACAGACGTCGAACATCGTTGCTTCTCGTTGACAGTCGCCGAACATCGTTTCTTTCCGTTGACAAACGTCGAATATCGTTCCTTTTCCTTGACAGTCGTCAACACAGCGAGAAATTGTTTCCAACGCGAATTTTTACGAGTTGTCTTACTTGGCTAAAACCTTCCAAGTTTCGCAATTTGTGCTTTGTTTTAAACTTACTGCTTGTTAATTCCCTGCGTTTGAAAATTCGGAGGTGCAAGGAATTATCGAGCGTCAATGACGTTTTTTGTAGTTTGCTGGTTTGTGCGACTCGATACATTCACTAGTTATTCGGACCACAGTGCAAGTACTGCGTACGAACTCGGAGAATTATATAGCAGCAAATTAACGAGCGGCTACTGTATATAGCTGCTATATATAACTACACGCGATGGATGCGTTACCACGTGCTTTATCTCGACATGTATTCTGGTTACCGCTGTGCACGAATAGAACGGTGAAGATTCTTTTTCTTATTTCCGACGCACGCCTAAGGTCTTCCGATTCGCGTTCATGGAAATAGAAGGACTTCTGGAGCACCAACCACAAACTCATGAACGGTTAAGCAATTAGTATATCGAGAAGTGCCTTGTGGTTCTATGACTATTCTCTTGTTTTGTTCATTTTATTCCGTACTTCCTATTTGACTACTTTCAGATTCGAACGGTTTTTTCATTTATTTTTGATACTAGACTTACGTAATCCGGAATGGACAAATCCTAGGTTTGTTATTTTAAATTTCAAATTTTTTAATTTGTTAATTTTTTAAAATTTGTTCATTTTAAAATTTCCAAACTGTCAAACCCCAAAGTATAAAATTTTTAAATATATAAAATTTCAAGTTTTCAAATTCAAAAATTTTTTAATTAACAAATTCTCAAATTAAAAAATTCCCAAATCTCCAGGTTTTCGAAATTTGGATCTTCCAGAACCTAGATTTTTGAATTTCTAAATTCTGAAATCCTGAAATTGTAATTTCTAAACCCCCAAATTTACAAATAACAGAATTTCTATTCTCCCAAATTCCCAAGTTTTCAAGTTTCCAAATTCCTAAATATCCATTGTCCTTATTGTGAATCTTCCCAATACTCAAATTTCCAAATCTACAAACGTTTACACCCAAAATTTTCTATCTGTAATAAACACAAAAATTTCACTTGCAACATACACATCGACCACATCCATAATTTTTCCATTAAATGCGAAGAATTTGAAATACTTTCTCAATTAAAAAAATTTCCTTTTCCTATAAATAATAGGAAAATGTCAGTTATAATAACGAAATCATACCTCGAAATTGAATTCAGCTCAAGAGAGGAAATACACGTGTAGCGTGTACATTAATCATGCCACGTTGGATTCTAATGCGTGGTAATTAAAGAGATATCGTTGTAGAAACTTCTTACGAATTCTAAGATCTTTCTCGCGTTTTGCAGTATGGTCAAGAAACTCAGCTGGGTATCGAAGGAAATTCGCGTTTCGAATATCCTTTGTTGGCGAGCAACGAAGTGAAAAGCGGCTTTTTCGTTACGCTAACTTTACTCGCCACGGCGTCTCGAACCCGGAGAAAGCGTCTTGGAATAATCATGAAATCGTTCTTTTGCCACTGCGGGTTGGCTGATACAACTTGTTGTGAATTCGAACTTTAATTTATTAAAATCAAAGATAACTGTTGCCAAATTAACCTTTGAATCACAATTTATCAGAAAAACATTCTTGGCACTGAGAGACGTTCAAAACCTCAGTCATTAAAAATGTTCCTTACAAAAAACTACTCGTTTTAACTTGAGAAAAACATTAATTAATTTTTTAAAGTTGTTTTAATTATCTCATAGGTGATTTCTGTAAATTTAATCGTTGAACATGAAGAAAAATTCGGAAACACGAAAAAAGTACAAAAATTATTTTCACAGAAAAATTCATCTCTTTCGACTTGAAGATAAAGAGCTAAAATCTTAGCTGAACACTCTTGAGATATAATAGTTTAAGAAAAAAAAGAGTAAAAATATCGGAGTTTTGAAAAAGATATTCGTTCAGATTTTTAGTATATAAAATGGTTAAAATTGTAGTTAAACTAGCTGGAGTCGTTTTATACCCCAATGTGATCAGTATTATAATTTGTAATAAATTGTTAATTATTAGTTCAGGTATTTAATATTATTAAATAAACATTCAGCTGAAACTATTAACTGTACTAATATTAATAAACCAGAATTTCATCTCTGACCGGACAAAAAAATTCCATTGCTTTCATTCGTATTTTGAGAATTTATACACAATAAGAAAGTCATCTGTTTTCATAATACCGAAATATATTGTCAAGGTTCTGAACAACTTTTTCGAAAACATGCAGTCGAACTGTTTGTATATGCAGTCTGTTCAATAACAACGTAGCAGGTATGACATATAAGTTATCTGATATGGAAGATGGGATATAAATGACACGGATGTGTCACTTCAAGTTGCGCACTGGGTGGGAAAATTATTATATGCAAATAAATTATACATACGAGATTTATTCTTAAAAACATGCAACAGATGCAGCTTTAATTAATATAATAATACTGCTGATGCTGGATGAATTGATGAGCTATAATGCATGATAAATCTATAAGTGATGTGTTAACACATACATCTCGTTTCTAGAATAAAAGGTAGATGTGGATATAAGCGTATGTTAAGTATTCTATGTTTCGGATCTCTGTGGTTGGACGTAAACCACGATTTCGGTTTAAGCGACGCTATTTTCGGCAGGTGCTCGATTTTTATGTATTAAGGGTAGTAAAGAAAAAAGACGGTACGATGAAATTTTAAATAACAATATTTTCTTGTATAATATAGTGTTCGACTAATGTTTAAGTACTCAACTTTTGCTTTTAATTACATACATTATTGTTAACAAATAACATGTTACAACAAAATAAACAATATATTTATTGTGAAAATATTATATTATATTGCACTATTTTTAGAGGATATACAGAATTAAATGAGAGTCTTTTTGTTGTTTACTTAAGAATTTGCGTAAAACTTGCAAAACGAATAAAGCTAAGGTACAAGTTATACAGAATAACTCATGAATAGTTTGTAACTTTAAATAAAATGAAATTACAATTATAACTTGATTACAATAGATTAAACTTTCTTTATACAATCCTTTTACAACAAACTCTAGGCAGAAGTATTGAAGAAAATTTACTTCCTGTGCTACCTTCGTAAACGTGCTCTATGAATATGTATAATGATACAACTATTGAGAACAAAAGAACGCGAAATAC